GACGTGGCCACAGTCTGGGCCCCGGGGTCGGAGCGTGGACCATGGAGGGGTTCAGCTTCATTAGTTTCTTAAAATTAAATTCTTTTTTGGTCACTAATTTAAGGTAAGAAATGAATTCAGAACAGAGGCTTTTGTGTAAAAATTTTAAAAATATTTTATGACATTTTCACTCATTATACTGTATACTGGTCTGTTGGATTTAAAAACAAAAACAAATTAAACAACTAACCTTGATGCTATCTATGCTAATTTTACCTTACTTTTATCAATTCTGTCTAGTAAATTTTTTTTTTGGTTCGTCTCACATCATGTTTCTCAGGAGTTTACGAATAATGTCTGTTGACTTGTGTCGCGAAGGTTTGTGATTTTTAAAATATGGATCTCCAGAAAAAAAAGTTTGGGAAACACTGCTGTAGAGGATTAGGAAAATTTGTGGATAAATAAATAAATAAATAAACAATAGTTTTTGTCTTTTTGTTTGGACATCATCAAATCAAAGGACAAAATTAGATTGTTAAAAAAAAAAAATAAAAAAATACTTGAGCTCCTTGACACCTGAAGACACAACAATGGAGGAGCAGAGTTGACCACAGTCACAGGATAAATGAATATTTGTGACTCATAATGGTTTTCCTCAGACATGACAGATAAATCTGTGGTGATTGGCCGTGAGAAGAGGGCAGCGAGGCGGCACCGTGCCAGGCACTGAGGCGCCAAGAGACTTTTCAGGAATACTCAAGGTCTCCAGTGACATTTTAGTCTCCCTCTCTCTCTCTCTCTCTCTCCCTCTCTCTCTCACGCACCCACAGATCCTCTCTTCCATCAGCTGGGCTCTATGACAGCCGTAGTAAGCCTGTCACTGTCATTCAGAGTGANGGGGGGGGGAGAGGTTAAAAGAAGAAAAACCACCTAGGAAGCAGAAAAGGTAGGGGGGAGGGGAGCTTCCTCCTCACGTCTCCCCCGTCTCCCTTCACTCATTCTATCCTCACCCCGCTGCCTCTCTGTGCCCTTTGGCTTCCTCTCACTCCATCTCCCCTTCCTCACCTTTCATGGAAAGAAAGGCTCCAGCTTTTCTCTGGCTCCAGCTGCGTATTTATGTATTATTTTATTGTATATATTTCCAGAGATTTAGTGCCCCTGCTGGCCGGACATCCAATGCGCAGCCCTTTTCGCAACGTTTTCGACAGTTTTACAAGGGGGCAAATTCAGATATTCCTCAGACATTTTTGCCCTCAGCTCCTGCTAACTTCTGTTCCTGACTCAAATAGCATATGTGTGGGTGTTCACCGTGTTCACGCAAGACTCTCCATGTGAACCGGTAACAGCAGCGGCCAAAGCAACAGCTCGGAAATCGAAAGTTCTACAGAAGAAAGTGCGGGTTGCCAGATATGTGGAATTACCTCCCCTCTGTGGCTCAGCCGGCGTCTTCAGCAGAGCGCCGTGTTCCCACTGTGGATAATTGTAATTGTATTGAACTGGCCGGCATCCAAGCAGGTCTGCCAAGTCCAGCTGTGCAGCTGCAATCAAAACACACTTCCAGCTTTCCTCATGACAGCCACATCATCCTCTGCAGCAGCACCGGTGTGTGTGTGTGTGTGTGTGTGATTCTAAAACAGCACAGATGCGTGCATTAGAATAAACAAAGCCCGATCACTCTCCCTGATTTAGTCGTGGTTATGACAATGGTGATCAAAAAGCAGAAAGGATGTGGGGAAATACTGAATATACTTAAAGAGAAAACCTATCAGTGCAGACGGAGCAGAGCAACAGCACACACACTCAGATCTCAGATCAGTCCCACGTGTGTGTGTGTGTGTGTGTGTGTGTGTTCAGTCCTGATAATGATGTATCGACTGTAGGCTTGTTTTGATCCTGAAACACTGCTGCTGCACATGAAGGTCTCGGCGAAACGTTTTGAGGTTCAGCTCAGATGTCAGATACTTTCTCGTCTGGTGGAGGCTCGCGCCGCAACACGATCCGTTTGAGCAGGAGAATATGGTGTGTGTGTGTGTGTGTGTGTTATATTATTATTGATGCTGAAATGGAAAATATCGATTATTTTCATTTGAACAAAAAATAACCCTGAAGATTTTAATATCAAGTGATAAAAAGCCAGAGCTCAAATGCAGTGATGAACGACTGCTGTCGTTGACGGTCGGACACTGATAAACACAGATGGACGTCTATGGAAAATCAATACAGTTATG